TAAACTTTGGGCGTCAGCAACCTGTCCTTCTGCTTCAGAGATTAAAGTCCCAAATTTCACAACAGCAAATCACTCCAGGCAAATGTAGCAATGGAAGCTAAACACAACCTAAAGCAAGACAGTACTTGGCATATTACCTAGCTGAGTCTACAGATTGTAAATTTATCCCCATCCCAGTACCGGTCCCCATCCCAGTACCGGTCCCCATCCCAGTGCCGGTCCTCATTCCAGCGCCGGTCCCCCAGTCCAGGGCAGGTCCCCCAGTTCAGGGCAGGTCCCCATCCCAGTGCCAGTCCCCATCCCGGTACCAGTCCCCATCCCAGTGCCGGTCCCCATCCCGGTACCGGTCCCCATCCCTGTACCTCTCCCCCGGTCCAGTACCGGTCCCTCCCCGGTGCTGGTTCCCATCCCAGTACCGGTCCCCAGTCCAGGGCCAATCGCCATCCCGGTACCAGTCCCCATCCCAGTGCCGGTCCCCATCCCGGTACCGGTCCCCATCCCTGTACCTCTCCCCCGGTCCAGTACCGGTCCCTCCCCGGTGCTGGTTCCCATCCCAGTACCGGTCCCCAGTCCAGGGCCAATCGCCATCCCGGTACCAGTCCCCATCCCAGTGCCGGTCCCCATCCCGGTACCGGTCCCCATCCCTGTACCTCTCCCCCGGTCCAGTACCGGTCCCTCCCCGGTGCTGGTTCCCATCCCAGTACCGGTCCCCAGTCCAGGGCCAATCGCCATCCCGGTACCAGTCCCCATCCCAGTGCCGGTCCCCATCCCGGTACCGGTCCCCATCCCTGTACCTCTCCCCCGGTCCAGTACCGGTCCCTCCCCGGTGCTGGTTCCCATCCCAGTACCGGTCCCCAGTCCAGGGCCAATCGCCATCCCGGTACCAGTCCCCATCCCAGTGCCGGTCCCCATCCCGGTACCGGTCCCCATCCCTGTACCTCTCCCCCGGTCCAGTACCGGTCCCTCCCCGGTGCTGGTTCCCATCCCAGTACCGGTCCCCAGTCCAGGGCCAATCGCCATCCCGGTACCAGTCCCCATCCCAGTGCCGGTCCCCATCCCGGTACCGGTCCCCATCCCTGTACCTCTCCCCCGGTCCAGTACCGGTCCCTCCCCGGTGCTGGTGGACCCCCACCTGCACCCGGTCCCGGGATTTTCCCCAGATTCCGTTTCTCCAGCGGAAAATGCCGGTTTTAACTTTTCCCGTCGCTTTTTCCGTCACCCCCGGGAAGGGCTTCGCTGCCCTGATTTTGGCTAAGCCACCCCAGCCCCGCTTTGGGGTTCGTTCGCGGGCATTTTGGGGGTCCCGCTCTCCTCTCCCCGGGGCTTCACGCCAGGAGAAATCCCTCCCCGCTCTCCAAGGAACCCATTTACACCCCGGGGACGGACGAGACCGTGAAGGTGGAGGAGCAGCAGCGACTTTATTTCACCCTCATCGCTCTTAACTTCGCCCTAAACCAAGCCACGGCCCTTTGGGTGCTGCTCCAGAGGTGGAAACGGGGAGTCCCCGGGGTAGGAGCGAGGGCTTGGGGACCTGCCAAGGCAACGCTTGTCCTCAGCTGCCCCGAAACCAGCTGAAAAAACCCATTGGCAGCTTTACCCTTTCGCTCCCCCGGCCCTAGCGTGTGCGAAAAAACCTCCCGGGTCGGATCCTGCCCTTTCTGAATCGGCCTCGCCGCCCCGTATTAGGTCAGCGGTGTCTTCCCCTGACGCAAAAGGCGGTTACTAAACAGCAGCCGGTGCATCG